ACACACACACACACACACACACTTTGCTTCTCACCCAGTCTTCTATCTTTCTACCATTTCCCTCAGCAGCAGACCAGCCCCCTCCCGGTTTCCTCACCCTTCCCACAGTGCCTCACTTCAATGTGAACCCGCAGCAGTGAGATCAGGAGCCACGCTTTGGTGGAGTACCTGCTGTGGACAGCAGATGGCAGCAGCTTTCCTCTATGTACTGACATGACGCTGTCCCTGGTCCTGAAACCACCTTTCACTCTCAGCACTCTTTTACGCATTTTACCTTTTCTCAAGTTTCCCGGTTAAAAACACAGAAGTGATGAAAGATCAAGATAGCTTACACACATGTGCCTGGTTCTTTCCTGTCTTGTTATCGTGTTCGTTAATAAGTTTAATAAGTGTTAGTCCTGGCTGACACCTACCATTTAAAAAGTCATCCACGAAATACTATAGCTACTCAGTGAGTCCGAAGGAAAAGGAGAGAGAGGAGAGCTCGGCATCCTCCTCGACTGTCTGCGGTGAAAAACTGAGCAACAAGCGGAGCACACGCACAAAACTCCAGGGCGACCTCCTCGGGGTCTGACGTACCCAAAGCTGCTGCTATAAATGAATTCACGCCGCCACTAAGCTCAGATGATTCGCAGTAACAGTGAGCGCAAACCGGCTGTCAACACTCACGGGCTCCAACACACACACACACAACCCCCCATCACACACTCACAAACACGCCTGCGTCATGCGTCCTGGGAGCGACGGCACGAACTCGGTAACTCCGATGGACCCCGGTAAAAGAGAAAGCAGCAGCAGTTTGAGGGGGTGACTGACTGTGTCCTGCACATCTGTCCAGCTGCGTATCCCCCCCCCACACACACACACACTGCTCTGGGAAAGTTGCGCTCCGAGTGTGGTCGCATCATGGATTTTATAACAAGCAGCAACGGGAGCAACGCGACCGGCGGGTACCCTCACGGGATGGACGTGGTGGCGGACTGGGACGGGGGTGAGAACGGCACGGGGTTTGGGTCTCTGCCTGACCTGAAGCTGAGTTACCAGATTATCACCTCCCTGCTCCTGGGGTCCCTTATCCTCTGCTCCATATTTGGCAATGCGTGCGTCGTGGCAGCCATCTCCTTGGAGAGATCGCTCCAGAATGTGGCCAACTATCTGATCGGGTCCCTGGCCGTGACAGACCTAATGGTATCGGTTCTGGTTCTGCCTATGGCGGCCCTCTATCAGGTTTTGAACAAATGGACACTGGGACAGGAGATCTGTGATTTATTCATCTCACTGGATGTACTGTGCTGCACATCATCCATCCTGCATCTGTGCGCAATTGCCTTGGACAGGTACTGGGCCATAACCGACCCTATTGACTATGTAAATAAACGGACACCGAGGCGAGCTGCGCTCTTGATAAGTGTGACTTGGTTAGTTGGTTTCTCCATCTCTATTCCGCCTATGTTAGGCTGGAGAAGTGCCGAAGACAGAGCAGACCCTGACGCCTGCATCATCAGCCAGGACCCGGGCTACACCATCTATTCCACGTTTGGGGCTTTTTACATCCCCCTTATCCTCATGTTGGTCCTGTACGGGCGAATATTCAAGGCTGCTCGGTTTCGGATTCGAAAGACGGTCAAAAAAACAGAGAAAGCCAAAGTGTCAGACAAGTGCTTAACCGTGTCCCCGGCCATCTTCCACAAGAAAACCAACGGGGAGGCCGGGGGAAAGGGCTGGAAACTCGGGGACGAGTCCAAAACCAGCTCTCCGTGCGTAAACGGCGCAGTGAAGCACGGGGAGGAGGGCGAGTCACTGGAGATCATAGAAGTTCTGAGCAACTCCAAGACGCACCTGCCTCTGCCCAACACCCCGCAGTCCTCGCATGGCTACGAGCACATGAATGAGAAGAACTCGGGGGCGAAGAGGAAGATCGCGCTGGCCCGGGAGCGCAAGACGGTGAAGACGCTGGGGATCATCATGGGGACGTTCATCTTCTGCTGGCTGCCATTCTTCATCGTGGCTCTGGTGCTGCCTTTCTGCGCAGAGCGCTGCTACATGCCCGAGTGGCTGGGCGCAGTCATAAACTGGCTGGGCTACTCGAACTCTCTCCTCAACCCCATCATATATGCCTACTTCAACAAAGACTTCCAAAATGCTTTCAAGAAGATTATCAAATGTAAATTCCACAGACCGTGACCCCACGTATTCACTGGCACGCGGAGCGATTGAGCGGACTGTGTGGAACTGCGAATAAATACCATCCAGACTTTTCATTCAGGGACAGTCTCTTATGTATGTGTTCAAGAAAACCTGAGGTCAGCTGATCAAATGAGACAAGACAAGAACTCTCGCTCTTAATGTACAAGCTCATGTTTATTCAGTGTTTGTAGCTACAGTATTTAGCCTTTACGCGCCGGCAGCCATCGTTGTATTGCCATGCAAGACGTGTCATGTGCCGATTCCATGCATTTTTACCATGAGACACGCAGGGTTTCCGTCCTACACCACGAGCTCTGTAGCACCGAAAACAATAAAAGCAGTCAAAGTTTGTCCTTAAGAAAAACACGAGTCCGTTTCTTATTTAGAGAAAAGAAAGTGAATGAGCCAAGAGAAGATGACACTATGATGACAAATCACAGTTTCACTTCGGTGCTGTCTTCATCATCACACATCTTCATCTGCTGTGGAGTGAACCATTCACTGTGTTGTTGACAAAGCAAGGCAGTGAACAACTTATCAATTTGCAGTGACAGGCCGCACTGATGAAGCTGGGAGGGGGGTGTGCAGGTTATCAGTGCATGGTGTGTTTGAGGTCTCCACTGTCGATCCATCAAACCACACTCAAAGTTCGAAAGCAAGAGTAGGATCACTTTTTTTTTCCTGAAGAGGGAGGCTGATATTACATTTATGATGTATGATCACACCCTCTCGCCTCCCTCTGTTTTCCTTTTCTTCTCCCTCCTGTGTGTATGAGAGAGAGAGAGAAAGAGAGAGAGAAAGAAACAGACTGTGAAAGAAGGATTGATCAAGAGAAATATCAAGGGAGAAAAATCCCATCTTTTATTGTTTGTACAGTACATTCCCCACACAGGTTTATTAAGCACTGTGTTTCAGTAGACAGCTTGTGACACCATCAACATAAAGAACAATGAGAGCTATATAGACTCTAAATG